CCTTTTTGGTGCCATTAAGAATGGGATTGTTTTGTTAATTTCTCTTTCTAGTGGTTCTTCCTTAGTGTATAGAAATCCAACTAATTTTTGTATATTGGTTTTGTATCCTGCAATGTTACTGTGTTTATAAGTTCTAGTAGTTTCTTGGTGGGGTCTTTAGGGGTTTCTTTGTTTACTATAGTCATGTAGGACTTGTGAGCCCAAGTTCCATTGGCTCTGAGAGCTAGGGGACCTGATTTGGGGACCTGTCGCTTAGGTAGCAGCCTTAAAAGTTGGAGCCCTAGATGTGTAGTCCAAATCTTTCACTCCTCAAGGAGAAGCTGGGAGTTGGGTGTTCCCTCCCAATTGTATGGTGCTGTGCTGGGGGTAGGGTTTATGGCATGTCTCAGCCTTTCCTACTTATGTCAATGTGGGTATTTCCCCAGTTGCCTGTTGTGTAGGAATGACTCAGCCAGGTTCTGGATTTCTCTCAGAGGAAACTGCTTCATGTGTAGCTGTATAAATTTGGTGCATCGGTGGCAGGAGGAAAATTCAGAAGCCTCCTATATTGTCATCTTGGTGCTATGAATATCTAATGTAGACATTATTATTGTCCCCTTTCTATGGAGGAGAAAACTGAGGCTCAGAAAAATTAAGGAAATTGCCTGTGGCCACTCATAACAGTAAGTTTGGGAACCAGAATTTGAATCCAAGCGTTCTAATCCAGAACATTCGTGATAACCCCTATACCAGTGGTTCTCAACCTCGGGTGATTTTACCCCAGGGGATATTTGGCAATGTCTGAAGATAATTTTCACTGTCACAACTAGAGGGAGAGAACATCACAGTAGAAGTCAGTAGAAGCCAGGGATATTTCTAACCATCCTATCATGCATAAAACATCCTTCACGGCAAAGAATGATTCAGCCTAAACTCAACAGAATGGAAGTTAAAAAACTCTGCTCTATATTATACTGCCTCTAGATTCTGTCGTACCCTGGCTATGAAAAATGTGGTCAGCAGGCTAGTAGCATTGCATCACCCAGGACCTTGTTAGAAATGCCCACCCCAGATCTATTAAATTAGAATCCACATTTTTAAAAAGATCTGCAGATGGTTCGTCTGCACATTGAAGTTTGAGAGGAAGTGAATTACACTTTTGGCTCTACCATGCTGTGATAAGTCTTGAATAAGACAAATCCCATATACCAGCCTAGTCTGCATGCATAGGCACAGAGAAGCAGTGTCAGGAAGACAGTGGTGGGGATGTGGGGGGGAATGTGGACAGATCCAGCAGGGATATAATATTAGGGACTGGAATTTTCCTCAGCAGATGGTTCTTAATAGATGACTTCTCCATATTGATGAGAGATTGCAAACAGTCGTGCCAGGATGCCAAAAAGACGAATGGCCCAGAAAAAAGAAACGCGTAGCCTGTGGACTGTGCTTTTCCTTGGTGTGTGCAAACATTACAGAACTGAACTACAGAAAAACACAAACATTCCATTAAGAGAATTCATCAAGCAGCTAACTTGCTGAAAGTTGTTGAAAAAATAAAAAGAAAATAGACTGATTTTTTTTTAACTTTTTAATTACTAATTTTGTTGTCATGTAAACTTAGTTTCAAAACCCATCTAACTCTCACTGTCCCTTCTGGGCATACAAAATGTGTTAACTTGTCCTCCAACCACAAAAGATCCCATGAAATTGGTAATCAACAGTACACAGAGCTCTTGACTGACTAAAGAACCAGCAGTGTAAATCCAAGCACTCTCAGATCCCGATTCCGAGTTCTGTTATGCATGTTAAACCATTCCCTAGGATCCACTGTCCCCTTATTTATAATAGGGACTTATTTAATATTGACTTTGTATTTCTATATTATTATTATTCACATCATTGTTTTAATCCACTTCAGATCTTGTGGAATTATTGATGAATAAATATCTGAAGAGAGAGGCATTGAGATAGAAGTGATAAATTGGACGTAGGGGACCACAAAGAATACAGATGTTGAGTTTGAACTTTCTGTGTTTCTTTGAAAACCTTGACCTAAGGAATTTAAAATTACATACTAAATATAATTTTGTTACTAATGTTTACCAACTCCCGCCGAAAGTGCGATCATCTGAAACAGGAACACACTCACACTTTAAGGCTCCCAAATAACCCATTTCTGGAGATAAAAGACAGAAAACCGTCTATGTTTTCTGTACAGGCAATGTTAAATTAACACTCCCGATTTTAAGCATCTCCTATAAAAAATGTTTTTAGCAAAATAAATATATACATTTTCTTTTTCTCGTGATTATAGGTCCCTGTCTACTATAGGCATCAAAAAAAGAAAATGTATAAACACACACACACACACATCGATAGTCAATTAGACTGCAGAATGTGCAGATCAACAACTCAACACCACAGAACCTCTTCTTTACCCACTCTGAAAACATGTGTCCGAACTGTGGTTATAATTGAAACCATTTGTTCCATGATCATGTGTCATCCAGCTTGTACCTGGGTTTATCTTACAATCTTCAAACCTAGTCTATCCCACATGTTTGGCTAAAAAAATGCCTGTTGCTCCTTTACTCGTGCAAGTGGTAAGTATCTGCTTCCGTTGTACAGTACTTGAAGTTTTGCTTCAGGAAGAAAGCCTTGCCTTTCTCCTTTTACCTGACTCATCCTGGGGATAATCCCCCCAGGAAGTGCCTGGATGGTTTGACTGGGCTATGGGAAACTGAAATCCTGTGCTGTGTTAACTGAGCTTCAACATTATTGTTGGAAGCAAGCCTCACCTGGCATTTGATATTAATCATGGACACCAGAGAAAGAGCTCAGTAAGCAGAATTGTCATCTGTGGCCAATCAAGTCTCACTGGACACAACCCACTGCTCAGTGTTCCTTTAACTTGTGCTGAGATGTCACACCTGTCAGCCAGCTCGCACATCTTTCCAAGGACTTGTTAGGTTTAGTTTTCTCCCTGTCTATAAATGCTACATATGTTAGCAACCGTCATTGACAGATTTCAGCAGTATTTTTCCCTTAGTCGAGCTGTTAGTTCAGTTGTCAAAGGCCAGCCTTCCCCTTTAGTCTTCAAAGAATTCAGAACCACAATCAGAGCTAAGGGAAAATGGCAGAGGAGATGGACAACATATCCATCAAGATTTTCCACTGGTTGCTTGGCTGTTTATGTACACTGCCTACCCTCCCTCCACCTCTCCAGCAAGTAGAATACTGAAGATATGTACCTGGACTTCATAGATAGAAGCAACTGGAAGACACCAATATGGATGAAGCAAAGGTCAAATTGAAATTAATTGTAAACTGTCTAGTTCATTGGGGTTAGTAATTTTCTATGGCTCATGCATAGCCTCTTCAGTGACCCCCACTTTATGTCTGGGCTCTGCCCAAGAGGCCAGAAAGGTTCAATGGTGAGCAGAGGCAGCATAAAGCTAAGGACCGGAGGGAGCTGGAGGGGCTCCCCAAGAGGCCGCCTTCAAATTGCTAAAGACACGTAGGAAACTGCAAGCCATGGTGAGTAAACTGTGCTGAAGGGGAGACATAAAAGAGGAAAGTTTGAGAGGTCAATATTCTAGAAAATGATGAGAATGGAATGAGAACAAAATGGGGGCAGGGCAAAATGAGGTTGTCAAGGATTTAAAGCCAAGAGTGCTGGACCAGGAGCTGAGTGTTTTTCTTCCGTGGTTCCAGAGGCATCTCTCAAACAGTATCTCCAAACCACTTAGGTATATATGGTGTCCCAAAGAAGTACGGTCGTGCAAAAGGAAAGGAGGTAAGCTCTTCAGTACTCCAGCAGGACTATGATCCAAGAAGGATTATTTTTATTTTACACAGAAGATTATAAGCTCCTTGCTTAAGAGGCATTTCTCTATCTATGAAAAAGTGAGGTCCTGTTTGGGGTCTGGTGAAGCCAAGGTCTATCGTGCATCCAGAGCAGTCTTGGGTTCTGTAGACCTTCATCATCAGGTTCAGGATTTGTTTTGGGCTTCCCACTGCAGCTGCATCAATCCATACTCTTTTTTTTAAGATTTTATTTATTTATTTTTAAGATTTTATTTATTTATTTGAGAGAGAGAGAGGGAGAGAGAGAGAGAGAGAGCGTGCGCACAAGTGGGGGGAGGGGCAGAGAGAGAGGGAGAAACAGGCTCCCCACTGAGCTGGGAGTCCGACACAGGGCTTGATCCCAGGATCTTGGGATCATGACCTGAGCCAAAAGCAGACGTCCAGCCAACTGAGCCACCCAGGTGCCCCTAGATTTTATTTATTTATTTTAGAGAGAGAGGGAGTGTGTGCACACAAAGAACAAGGGGTGTTGGGGAGGAGCGGGGGTGGGGGAGCAGGAGGGAGGGAGAGAGAATCTCAAGCCGACTCCGTGCTCAGGAGCCAGTTGCAAAGCTCAGTCCCAGGGCTTGATCCTAGGACTGTGAAATCTTGACCTCAGTCAAAATCAAGAGTCCGATGCTTAACCAACTGAAACACCCAGGCGCCCCCAATTCATACTCTTTTTTAAAAATGTCACTCATTGTGAACATGGCCATATGAGATCCCCCACCTGTGTTAAATCAAGAACAGGAGAAAGATTTAAAACTTTTCTCTCCATCTCAAGCAAGTCAGAAGTGCTCACTTCATCAGTAATATCAGCTCATGTCCTGGCATAGGGCAGATTTATTCACAAAGTAAAAAAATTGAGGGCTTTTAAATTTTCTTTTCATAAAAATTTCAATTAAAAAAAGATAAAGTTAATGAAAAGCAATTATTTATATACGGTATATTTTTATGTTACTTACCTCTCAGGTAAAACCAAGGAATGAAAATCTTGACTCACCTCCATTTTAAAGAAAACCCTTACCGATCCATATAGTTGACCTAAAACTGGACATGAATTACATTATGCTAGGTCCTTCGAGGAGCACAGTCACTTAATAAATCTTTGTGGGAGCCCTTGCCTCATGTGCTTTGTATAGAATTTTGTACCCTTATCTACTATTAACACCTACCTGAAATAGAAGGAGTAAAGCTGATCTCTTGGTGAATGGTTGCATTCGTCCAAATTCCCTAGGATCCTGTATCTGGCCAGTCCCCGAGGCCGCATGCCCTCAGCCTGTTCATGTCTGGCAGGCTAGCAGAGCAGGGCATGGCTGCAAACCCTCAAGGACAGCATGCCCATTGCGATGTCACCCTTACCTCTGAAATGTATCCATCACTGGAGTATGAAAGGTAGCATAACTAATGGTGACTAGGAGGCCACGTGGTAGGATGGAAAAAGAACTAGATTTGGAATCAGAAGGCAAGTGTTCCTGTTGCAGTTCTAACTCTTATTAGCTAACATGACTTCAGGCAAATCTCTTCAAATCCCTGTCCTCAGTTTCTCATTTGTAAATGTGGGGAATGATAATGTACCATGCTGTTCTTAAATAAAATAATATGTGAAAGCACTTTGTAAACAATGGAACAATATACACACATAAGAAATTATGTGTAATTGGTAATCAAAATTTAATATTTTGTGATCACAGGATATCAAATAATTAGCTGACTCCCATATAGTTACATGAACTTATTTTCCAAAAGAGGTCAATTAAACAAAGACACTGGTCTCCTTGGTCAAAAATGCTTTAGCAGAATGTTTATTTTTCCAACATGGTTGTAATTGTCTTGAGACTCCAGCATACACTTGAGCCAAGTAATACTGTCAAGATTTTTGCGTCTACATTGATTTATCCATATTCCCATGTTTCTCATGGCCCAGCTAGAAGAATGAGTAATGACAAAAGTAAATGCTGCTCTATTGACAATTTCTGGTTTCAGGGGCCTCCTTCAGCCACATTTGATTGTGAGCCATGAATCTCAGAAATAGAACCTTCACCTCGACCTTCCCTTGGAAAGTAGGTGAGGAAAATTGATAGGTAAGGCTTAACTATAACCTTGGCTGAACCCCATGTGGGAAGACTCCCAGTCAAGGAGTCAGAAAACCAACTCTGTGTCCCAGCTGTGGGGGAAGCACTTGTCACACCAATGGGACATCTAACCTTCATAGATTCTATGTCCATGTGGCCTCCTCCATCTATTAAATGGAGGAAAGAGGGGATTAGGGTTCAACAGTCCTCAACTTTTTGGTAGGTCTTGGGTCTCTTTAACTATTAAAAATCACAACCACCGTATGAGGAGGTATTAATATTATCTCCACCTTATTATTAGGTCACTGAAGCTTAGACTATGTAAGTAACACAAAATAAAATTTGCACCCAAGTTCAGGGAATTCAAGAACCACATGGATGATCTATAGAAGACTTCAGGTGAAGAGTCTCAGAATTAGAGCACATAATACTTCTATCTGTGCATTTCTTTTCTAAAAGTGTGAGTACATATTCTATTTGGGTCACACGCAATACCATGGCCTAGTGTGACCCATTTCCTTCTAATAATAGATGGAAAATTACCTGCCAGTGGATATCAACACTACTACCCAGCTAGATAATAACAAACCATCGTCTTTTCAAGTAATGCCAACTATCTCTAAGTAATAAAAATGAATTCACTTTGTCCTGGTGATATCCAGAGAAGCTACTGCCAGGAGGCCCTGAATTTGCCCTCACTCTCTTCCTAAGTGCAAACTAGATTGGACAGTTTTGTCAGAGACTATGGGTTCTTCCCATTTGAGTTCTCCCCTGTAGAGAGCACAACTTTTTCAAACCGAAATCAGTATCAATCAAACATTAGGCTAGAATAAACACATCCTCACACACCCAAATTCTCCAAAGAGGTTGCTTCTATGTGTCTTTTTTTTTTTCCTTAGGAGATTGCTAGAGGTTGTGCTCCACCAAAACAAAAAATTAAATCCAAAAGATCAAGACATAAAATCCAGGAAGCAGGAGCTGTAATGCTGGAGGAGATCTCCTTGAATGACAGCAGAGTGCCAGGACCATAGCTAAGCAGAAAGGAAGGTGTATAGAAATGGATTGAAGGTTAGTTTACAGAACCATTAGAGGAAATAGGAAATCTTAACCAGAAACTTGAAGAAAGATGAGCAAAAGAAAAAAAAAGAAAGAGGGGGCAATATATTCATAGCAAAACTAAAAGTTTGCACAGATGTACCGTTAACAGTGAATATTTACAAGGACAAAATAATGAAGACCCTGATGATGGACTTAACCGTAAAGCTATTTTACAAGTTTTCAGGAAGAACAAAGTTGTCTGTGAGTGAAGAGGGGTATAAGAAAGCAAAATCTTCACCATCCACAGCCAATAGTAACATCTAAAACATAAAATGGGATGAAGCAGTAGTATAAGCACGCTGTTAGAAATATTTAAGTAATTACCAGAAGCAAGAGCTGACAGAGTTGAAAATGATTGTACTTGGGGAAGGGAAAATGAGATGGTGAGAAGATACTTGTACTATCATTTGACTTTTAAAATTGTGTATAATAAATCCTTTGATAAAAATAAAAAGTAAACATTGACAAGATAATAAAGGAGACTATAAAATAGACAACGGTCCTATCTGCCCAGTTCTGGGAGGAGATTTGTGCTGCCCTGTTCCTTCCCACAGATTCTGAGGGGAGGTCATCTTGCAGAACATTTTTCACTACCCCATGTATATTCCAGGCAGTCTGGAAACTGAAACTGCTTCAGGATCTTTAATTATTTGTCTTCAGCTATGATTAAGAAGTAACATGGGAGCTTCCAGGGGAAAGAGACCATCACTGTGTTTCAAGTAATCGTTTTGAGTAAACACTGTTGGGTCAAGATCAGTTTGTGGGAAGCCCTGCTTTTGTCTTCTCAGGTTCAACATGGTCAGTGCTTTCAAGCACCATCACTCATTACACTGCTATGTTGCCTAGTAAGCAATTCACACAACTTCTGAATTTATGCGCTATAAACTAAAAGCAAAATTGCACCCGAATTAGGAAATCCTTGCTAGAGATATGCTGAAAGTGAGCATCCCCAAGGCAGTTGGTTGCTAAAAGGAAATGTTCTAAGTCGCTACTGCCTAATCAAGGCTTGAATGTACTCTTTTCACCTTTGCCAGTGTGATGGATTATTTCCACCTCAGAAAGGATAATGAAGAGCATGCATTCAGAGTGGGTCTCTTAGTGTAAACACAGTTTTTGTCCATTCTGTCCATTTAGCAGCTAAAAAAATACTGGACTTGGGCATGTAATAAGTGAAACCAGAGTAACAGACTTATTTTAGGAGGAATCGTTTTGGTTTCTCCAACCACAGACCCCAACCCCCATGACAAACAGCCTATAAGTTCAAGCTATGAACACTCAGGAAACCAAAGAAGACAAGGTATGTGGTTTACTCTCATTGTTCCTTGAAAAACAGCTCTAAGTACAGAGCCTATTAAAATGAATGAGTTTCCAGATCAATGTTCTCTAGTCTACAAAGTGTGTTTATACACATATTTCACTGTTGAAAGGAATTTTTAAAGATAGCCCACCACACATCTAATGCACATTTCCCACTCTACCTCTGCCAATTGTGCAACACATCTAGAGACAGGAATCTCGCTTCTTCCAAAAGCAACCTTATTCTGTACACCCCTGAGACTTACTAAGATCTTTCTTTGATCTACAGCTCAGTGACTTCAACCAACAATCCTTTTATTTCCCTTGGAGTCATTAAAAAAAAAAAAAAGAATTTAACCTCCCTTCCACATTACAGTTCTTAAAATACTTGATGACAGCTTCCATTCCTTCCACAAGTTTCCTTTTCCCTCCACTCTTCCCTGACAGACCCCTCAACAGTTTTTTCAGCATTTTCTCATACACTGTGCCCTGATTCCTTTCCCTGGGCAGGGTGCTGTGAAGAGTGGTCCCCCATGGGCCTTGGAGCAGGAGTATCAAAGTCAGAAAAACCAGGGTTTCAATCTTGCATCTACTCTGTAGGTATATGACTTTGATCAAGCCGAGTCTCTCTCAGAGCTTTAGTCTCCTAATCTATAAAGAATGGTAATAACAGTACTTATCTCTCTTAATGATATAACATGGGTGAAGACTGATCAAGGTGCCTGCACCAAAGTAGATATTAAGAAAATGCTACATTGGGGTGCCTGGGTGGCTCGGTCGTTAAGCATCTGCTCAGGTCATGATCCCAGGGTCCTGGGATCGAGCCCCGCATCGGGCTCCTTGCTCAGCGGGAAGCCTGCTTCTCCCTCTCCTCCCCGCTTGTGTTCCTGCTCTCGCTGTGTCTCTCTCTGTCAAATAAATAAATAAAATCTTAAAAAAAAGAAAGAAAGAAAGAAAGAAAATGCTACATTGCTGCTGGGGTAGTCCAGCATGAATGTGTGGTGCATTGTTGAGTCTCTGTAAAAGGATGTGCTCAAGTCTCAAGATACTCTTCTGAGCATAATCTGACCACCGTCGAGCAGTATCATAATCTTGGACTCCTGGGCAGAGACTTCATGATTGGCAGGTCTCTGTCACTTATTTACTGACCCTGCCATCTTACAGAAGATATGAATTTCTGCTAAGACCATAGAGCCACAATCTCCTCTACAACTATCCAGCTCTGACACTGAGCAAGAGTACAAATAAAAGAAACACCGGAATGTGCTTTTAATTCCGAAAGGTCTCTCTTGCTAGCCCAAAAGGGAGGATGACAGTCTCCCAGTCATAAAGGTAGAAGGAAAAAGGAATAATAAAAACTGTCAGACTCTCCTTTCTGGTCCATTTCTAGCAATTTAGAATGTATCGGATGCCTAAACAACCCTGAGAACATGGTTTGGATATCCAAGATGGAGACATTACAGATTACACAGCAATACTAACCAAAACTGGACTCTACATGATTTGATGTCCATATTTGGATGTCAGAGGAAATCTGTTTAAGGAAGAACTCCTGCCAGTCCTTGGGAAAATAACCAATTTGAATTGAATTCGGTATAATTTCCTCAAAAGTGTCAATAACAGCAGGTGACCAACAGCCAAATGAATGAACGTGTCCACAGGTTCTTTTTTGCATCCTTTGGGTATAACCTCTCAGGGAAGAGAAATTCATGAGGTATCTGAATTTATGGAATAAGAAACCACAAAGAAAGATAGCAAGACCAAAAGAATGACTATTAGATTAGGTAAACATCAGTGGTACATCAATTATGTG